TCCACAACACTTAATTTAAGCCACCATATAGGGAGGCGTAGACTTGCTCCCTGGGATGGTAGAAGCCAAAAAAGGCTGAAGACAATTGGCGACATGGCACAAAATCGTTCTCAATGAATAACGCAGATGTATTCACTTTTTGTGATTTTCAAGTATTAGTTCGTAGGGATTTGATGGATTGGTTACAGGATTCCATCATGAGGTGACATAGGTTAGAGAACTCTTAGAAAAGGTTAAGAGTACTTGGCAGCTGTTTCATCCTAATTTGGGACTCTTTATCTGGGGTTTTAGTTGGAGGTCGTGACCAGTAGCGCTCAGCAGGTCAAGTGTGAAGACAAATACTCGCCAGAGATGACATTTGCTGGTGGCCGCGTTATGTCGTGAATTGGCAGAGGTTGGAATTCATGAGCTGGCCACTGAACTGGCTGGGTCCCAGTGATTTAATGCTCTACAAGCTAGCTCATCTATTAACCAGAGGTTCCTGGGTTAAACCCCCCGTGGTGGGTGCGTACTGATAAAGATTCCCAAAAAAGCCAAGTCGAAACAGCTGCCCAGTATTCCCTTCAGGTTTTCTAACGGTTTTTTTGCTATTTATCACATCCAATAAACTCTAATGTTCTTCCACATTACTTTCCTTTTTACCTCATATTTCTGTTTGTTATCTCTCTTTGCTCTTTTCTGTTGTTGTCGTATGTGTGTGGCAACTCGAAGTGGTGCACATCTTTGCAAAGTTCTACGTTAAAACCAGGCTAACTAGCCACCCAAAATATCAATTGGGGGACTAGTGGTAGTTTGGTTTGTTGCCAAAGTTCCTAGTTGTTCGTCTAATTCTGCCAGTCATGTGATCTTCGGCATTCAGCGTAAACAGGAAGTATTGTTAAAAGTCTGTTGTTGCCTGTTTGAAGTTCTTTTGATAACGCACACAGTGTGTCCGTGAAACACATAGAAGCATTGAATAACTGAACATTAGTTTTGAAAATTTGATTCAAGTTCTTCATGTTGAGCACAGTAGATTCATTTCAATCTTGCTGAAATTTTACAAATATAATTGTTTTTACAAATGTCTACTTCTCATTCGGCGCAGAAATATTTTAGAACTCTCCTGTCAAATCTTGACGACAGTTCATTTGAATAATATACTCTCGTTTGAAAAGATAAATGACAGATTCAGCTAACAATGGGAAAATCATCAGTCGTTTTTGTGGATACAGGGATATTCAGTTGACGAGTTCGAAATTGTTCAAAATTTGCACCCATGATTTCATTCTTAGCAACTATCACTGACCAAATTGCAACTCTACGCATCATCATCGAACAAAGCATGGAATGGCAATCAAACCTCTACCTCAACTTTATACACTTTGAGAAGGCCTTCGACAGCGTCAATCGTGAAATAATTTGGAAATTGCTCGAGTACTATGGCGTACCTCAAATATTCATCAACCTTATTCAACAGCTGTACGACAACGGTGGCACATGTCAAGTGATCCACAACGGAAAACTGGGCGAGGCGTTTGGAGTAAACACAGGAGTCAGACAAGGGTGCTGGCTTATTATCACCAATGTTATTGCTAATTTTGGTGGACTGGATTATGCGTCAGACAGTGAGTGGGAAACGAGAAGACAGGGGGGATATCCTGGACCGACCGACGTGAAGAACCCAGAAGACCTGGATTTCGCGCGTGGATGATTTATGCTTGATGTCACACAAAATCGAAGACTTACAAGCGAAAACCGACCGACAAACTGGTCGAAGAAACAGACAGTGAAAACAGGACTCTAGGTGAACATAGACAGGATGGAGGTTATGAAAATAACCAACCAACAACAACAGCAGCATCAGCAACATCCAACGACAATCACCATCAACGGGAGGGATTTGAAAGAGGTGACTTCATTCACTTATCTAGGGACCATTGTCTCAACTACAGGAGGAGCGGACGAGGATGTCAAATCGAGAATCGGGAAGGCGAGAAACACATTCATCAGCCTGAAATCAATCTGGAAATCTTCGTCACTCAGCATCACCAACAAAATTCGGATTTTTAATACAAACGTTAAGTCAGTTCTTCTATACAGATCAGAAACTTGGCGGGTCACAAGGAATATTTCCAAAAGGCTGCAGACCTTTATTAACAACTGTCTTCGCTTAATACTGAAGATCAGATGGCCGGAAAGAATCACTAACAAGGAATTATGGGAACAAACAAAGCAAGAACCAATCGCCAACCAACAAATATGCAGGAGAAAGTGGAGATGGATCGGACACTCGTTGAGGAGACCGCTGGGTGACATCGCGCATCAAGCGCTCGAGTGGAACCCGAAAGGGAAGCGGCGAGTGGGACGTCAGTGCAAGGGTGACATGGAGGAGATCGTGTGAAGAGGAGTTGAAACCGTATGGACTAACATGGATGCAGGCGAAAAGTATAGCAAAAGACAGAAGAAAATTGAGACGTGCAGTTGAAGCCCTATGTTCCACTAGGAACCCAAGGGAGCAATAATAATAATAATAACCAGCCAAGTATGAATAATAGTAATAATAATGGCTTTACTCCAAACAGTATTGCTTATTATACGATATTTCTCTCCTTACATTGCCACAAGCTTCGAGTTTCATGCCTCAAACTTCTCTCACTACATAGAATGTGTACCAAATCAATGATTGTAGAGTCTTTATGGTTAGTCATCCGAGCACTAAGTCTTCCATAGTTGCTTTTAGTCATACCCACCTGGTTTTATACAAGGAAAGCGTTGTGTGTAGATAGTAGGATGTTCAGGGTCTGATTAGATGATATTTTTTACTAATTTCTTGAATGAGTTCAAGTATCTACTCAAAAGGGGTATTAACAAATTAATTTAGCCATATCCCACTTGCCCCACTGAGAGCTTTCAGTGCTCTTCTCAGTGTAGCAAAGTCTTTTTAAAATTAGACCAGGAAGGATTAAATGGGATCAGTAAAGAAGTACAGGTAGAAATACAAAAAAGTAGAGATTGATTGTTATCAGACTGTCTTAATTTCTCTATGTAGAAGGTTACACGAAATATCTTCCTACAAATTAGAAACATTCATATTTATCGATAAACTCATCAGAATTGACCTTATCAACAAATAATCAATCCAACACCCTGCTTGTATTGCGGCAAGCATGTTTAGCCAAAGACCCTATTAGGTAAAGAGTCGAAGGCAGATGTGTAATCAAAGAAGGCGCACCGTACATTTTTGAGGATCTCTGTATAAACTAGAGACAGTAATATGATGTACGACCAAAGAGGTATTTAAAGTACATCTATTATGCTTACAAGCGGATAGTCAAATATGGATAAACGCCTTCAATGAAGGTTCAGGGTTGCGCTATATCGTGAATTGGCAGAAGTTAGAATTCATAGGTCATTGCATCGGTTCCCGGTGGCGTAATGGTCTACGAGCTATCTCGCCTTGTAACCAGAAGGTCATGGGTTCAAACCTCGGCGGGGTGGGTGCGTACTGATGAACAGTCCCAAACTAGGAGGAAACGGCTTTCCAGTACTCCCAGGTAGATTTTCCAGTGATTATCTAACCAATGTCAGCTCATGATGAAATACTGTAACCAATGTATGTTTTCTTTGATTTTTAAAAATAGTGAGGTAATATAAAAGGTCTTAATCCATTTGATGATTTGGGCGCAAGGACAATACTCTTTGTTCAGTATCCGTTCTTTTTTTCAATATTAATGTCCTTCAATGACGTGGACACAACATTTGTAGGAAATGATTAATTTAAAAATATCAGTAAGAGGGTGATTATATGGAATATTTGCTACCTCTTCTCTGGAGATCATAGTGGGCACTCCGTTTAGATCACTAGATTAGGTAGGTTTCTAGGACTGAGGACATTTTAGGCATTTCTAGCATTATGTTCATCTGAAGGCATCATGTAAGTTTCACAACCACTAGGAGTCTGTATTGTTAACGAAAACTGATAATATACCTTATTCGAAAATAATCCATCCAGCTCGGAGAACATAGCTACATCAAAGACAAAAAATTTCAAGTGTTGATTTTTAGGGATTTTGTTTGATTAATTGGTTGAAGGATTTCATCATGAGCTGACATCAGTTAGAGAACCACTGGAAAATCAATCAGTAGGAAGTAATGAACAGTTAGCTGTTTCGTCTTAGCTTGGGGCTATTTAGCAGTGCGCATCCACTAACGGGGTTCGAACCTACGACCTTCTGGTTAAAAGGAGACCATTAGGCCACTGATAACACCAATCCAATGACCACCATATGAATTTCAACTTCTGTCAATTCATGACATCACGTGATCACTAGCCAGTGTCATCGGTGGCGAGTATTTGTCCTCACACCAGATTTGCTGCGGCCTACGACTACCCACTTGAACCCCAGGCAACTAGTTAACTGAAAGGGACCAGTCGTTATGGTTCACTATCTGATGTCAGCTCATGATGAAATCCTCCAACAAAGAATTTCAGTTCGATAAAAGTCAATCAACAGTAATCACAAAATAACCCCATCAATTAGATGAAGCTGAACTCTTCAGACAAGAGGTCATTTCTTAAATGTGATCACCAGTTAACCTCAACTGGTGAACCATTTAAAATGCAGGAAGGAGTACTGGGTAACTCTTTCGTCCTGGTTTTGGACTGAATCTTCATCAGTACACACCCATTCAGTTACTGGGATCCGATTGAATGGGTTATGAGTTCCAGCTTCCGCTATTTCACAGTCTATATATATATATATATATATTATATATTCGCTAATACCACAGGAAAAGGCATCAAAGCAAGCCAGTCTCAAATAAGGTCTGACATCGCACAGAAAATCAAAAAGACAAACAATCACTCATACCGAAAGGATAAGAAAGTATGTTTACACACGTACACGTAACCATTAAGCACATAAACCCACGCATATGTACATGCACACCAACACACAAACCCACACAAAGACTCACACACACACATCTGATTATTTATTCAATTGGTAATAAATTGTCTACAAAAACAGTTACATAATCAATATAAATAGGTTCTTTTTGTCATTAGAACTGCCATTTATTGCATAACTTGTTATACGTTTGTAAGCATTATTATTATCATTATTATTCACTCTCAAGGTCATCAATCAAGGATATAGAACACAATAGACAGGACAATAAATAAATTGTGACCAATGAAACTACCAATCTCTGGGTCATCATTGATCAAGTTGAGTAAAAAGTCAAGCTTTTTTAAAATGTAAAACTCGTTTTGATCTTTTATTTATTCAATTTATTATTTTATGTATGTGTGTGTGTGTGTGTAATTTAGTAGAGGCAGCAAGCATAACAGGATAAGGTCGATGTCAGCGATCAAATTTTTCATTCATCGTCCAGACATTGATGTACCACTTGCTTATCGGCTACAAATGTCATTGTTTAAAAGTATGGATTGGAATAAACTGATCAAAAAGTTGCATGAGATAACACATTTTCAATTTGCTGGTTTTACACTTACATGGAATGGTAAGTCAGTTGAGATGAGTATTTCGTTTTGTTTTAATCTTTTTATGGTAAAATGCATAAATATATTTATATATATATATGCATTTTAAGTGACTGATTTCATTCACTATGGCTAGACAGGTGTTTCGCCCAAGTTTGTGACCCCCATCAAAAGGGCTCGAATCCAGGACCTTTTGTTTACAAGGCGAGCGAGCTTGTAGATCTGCAATTCATAGTGTGTCTCTGAGCTGGTTGGTTTAGTTGCGGAGCTTTCGTCGTCCCCCATCCAGACAACATCCCCCTTCAGCGCAATATTTTGCATAAAGTGGAATGATTAAAAATTTTCATGAGTGATGTAATTGCGTCTTCCGGTAACCATCGCTATTGATCATTGTATTGATCATTTTCTATTGATTTGGATTTTAAACTCTCTGGTCACATGATTTACTTTTTATTGGTCTCTATATTTGGTCTATATTAATGTGTTTGTTAATTGCATATACGTTTGAGTACAAGGCTTCTAGGAATTCCCTGATTGCTCTTTTGGTGTTTCCTTTGTCTAAAATTTCGACAATCAAATTGATGTCCATAATTGTCTATATGCATTGATATGAAACAGGAATATATATCGTGTCTTTTCACGGCTGATTTGTGTTCCTGGATTCTGATTCGAAGGGGACGCCCACTTTGTTGACCAATGTAATGCCTGTTACAATTCATACAATTTATTTTGTAAATGTTATCTACTTTTCTGTTGGATCTTTTAGTTTGCATAAGATCGAATTAAGCGATTTAACTGGCTTGTGTGCTATATCTATATCAGACGGTTTCAGTATTCTAGGTGTTTTTTCAGAGATAATTTTTATGTATGGTAGTATGAATTTTCTTGTGGTCTTTGATGGTGGTTCCTGGTTGGTGTTTTGACTCCATTTTAAACACTTTTTGGTGAAATTTTGTAGGTAACGATTCTTTTTGAAGACCGTTTGTAAGTATTTTTCTTCAATTCACTTCAACTCTGGAGTGCTACAGTGTGTTTGAATTCTTTTAAACAATGTCTGCACACAGTTTCGTTTGTGAGTAATTGGATTATTGCTAGTATAGTTGAGTATTTGATCTGTGTGCGTTGATTTTGCTATATACTTCTTCTTCTCTTGGGAATTTGATGCCTTCAAATATGTTGTTTATTAATTTACGGGTATAATCTAAATCATTTCTCATCAACGTAACGTACCCAGATTTTCGGTTTAATTATAGGTAGAGCTATTAATTCTAATCTTTGCATGACGGCTTTAGCTATTAAACCTGATATGGGAGATCCCATTGGTGTTCCTTTTGTTTGTTCATATATTTGAGTATTGAATTGAAAGTATGTTTTAAGGCATCATTTTATGAGTTCTAGGCAAGTTGTACATTGCGTTTTCATGTTTTCATCACTATAGAGTAATTGTTGCATAGTTTCTGTTGCTAGTTTTGGACTAATTGAAGTACATAATGCTGTAACATTAAAGGACACCATTATTTCATTGTCTTCTACTTGAATGTTTTTGATTTGCTCTAAAAACGGGATAGACGAATCGATAGGATGGTCGCATGATTCTGTTAAGTATTTTAATTTCCTGAGAAGTTGTTTAGATAGATTATATGTTAGTGTTCCTGGAAGCGAAACGATTGATCGTGACGGAATGTTTAGTTCGTGTAGTTTTGGTCTACCACAGAATCAAGGTAAAATAGATCTGTTAGATTTCATTCGCCATTGATCTTGTTTTGTAATTTGTCCTGATTTCGTTGGTTTATTTAGCGTTGTTTTGATTTTGTTATCTAATATTTGTATGGGATTTGTCGTCAACTGTTGATATACATTATTATCTTTGAGGAAACTCCTTGCTTTCTTTATGTAGTCTTCTGTGTCCAGGATAACTGTTGTTCTTTCTTTATCAGCGCGTAGAATAACTATATCTGTTCTATTCTTCAGTTTCTTCAATGCATTTTGGTCTTCAGTGCTAAGTTGGGAATTATGTTTTTTCTCTTTGATTATAGGTATGCTACATTGACGTATTTCTTGTTGTACTTCGATCAGTTTACTACGCAATCATTTAGAGTTTCATCAGATGGTTGTTTGAATATCTTAACTAGATTTCCTTTGACGACAACTTGTAGATCATTAACCTACTGGGAACTGATCCAATGGCCAGCTGATGAATTCTAACTTCTGCCAGCCAATTCAAGACATAGCCTGGCCACTTTGCAATGTCTTCTTTGATGAGTAATTATACTCATCGTCCATCTGCTGTACCCTGCTGGTCACGGCTTCCTACTAGAACCGCAGATTAACTGCTCGAATAGGGCCAGTCACTAGATTAAACAGCACTGTGTCACATGAGGTGCTTTAGATTACTGCTTTTACTCGGAGATCCAGGATGATGATGATGATGATAAAATATCGTGTGAAAACTTCGATGAAAATCCTGAATATTGTGTGTTAACATTTTGTGCAGGATACTGTTGCTTAAGCATCCACAATGGAAAACTCAGCGAGGCGTTTAGAGTAAACACAGGAGTCAGACAAGGCTGCCTATTATCACCAATGATATTCCTAATTGTGGTGGACTAACTGGATTATGCGTCAGACAGTGGGAAACGAGCAGACAGGGATATCCTGGACCAACCAACGTGAAGAACCTAGAAGACCTGGATTTTGCGCGTGGACGATTTGTGCTTGAAGCTACACAAAATCGAAGACTTACAAGCGAAAACTGACAAACTGGTCGAAGAAGCAGCCGGCGAAGACAGGACTCCAAGTGAACATAGACAAGATGGAGGTGATGAAAATAACCAACCAACAACAACAACAACAGCAGAAACATCCAGCATCAATCAACATCAACGGGAAGGATTTGAAAGAGGTTACTTCATTTACTTATCTATGGAGCATTGTCTCAACTACGGGAAAAAGGAACGGACGAGGATATGAATTCGTGCGAGAATCGGGAAGGTGAGAAACACATTCATCAACCTGAAACCAGTCTGAAAATCTTCATCACTCAACCAGCATCAACAACAAAATTCGGTCGGATTTTCAATACAAACGTCAAGTCAGTCAGTTCTTCTATATGGATCAGAAACTTGGCGGGTTGGTCACAAAGAATATTTCCAACAGGTTGCAGACCTTTATCAACAACTGTCTTCGCTCTCTACTGAAGATCAGATGGCTGGGCCGGAAAGAATCACCAACAAGAAACTATGGGAAGAAACAAAACAATCGCCGCCCAACAAATATGCAGGAGAAAGTGGAGATGAATGGGATACCCACTGAGGAGATCGCTGGATGTCATCGCAAAAAAAAAAATCGAGTGGAACCTGAAAGGGGAGCATCGAGTGGGACGTCAGTGCAAGGGTGACATGGAGAAGATCGTATGAAGAGGAGTTGAAACCGTATGGACTAACATGGATGCAGGTGAAAAGTATAGCAAAAGACAGAAACAAGTGGAGACGTGAAGTTGAAGCCCTATGTTCCACTAGGAACTCAAAGGAACAATAATAATAAGCGGTGCCTGGATGTTTATGACAATTTATTTGGCATTCGGTAGATGATAGAAAAGGATTCTTCAATTCTTACTTCATGACTTCAGGTTCGCACCAGGTGGTCTAATATCGAACTGTTGTTGGTTTGTACTTTTTTACCTTTACCTAGCCATACCATCGGATTTTCCATAGAGCGACGGTCGATATAACTCGCTCTACTACAAGCACAGTTGAATTAGTAGGCCCAATTAGAAGTGGCCAGCTAATCTAGGTACTTCATTTTTCAATTGACGAATCACCGCCGGTCGTGTAGATTCTTTGAATTTTACTCTCCGTATTACGTAATCGTTTTGTCATTAGACTTCGAATCTTGATTTTTCCGATCTTATTAATTCCATTCACCCTGGTTACACAGTTATCATTGGTTCATTATCTCCCTAACAAAAAAACTTTTTACTTCTCATGAGGAACGTCGCTCCTACAATATATATATATATATATATATATATATATATACTAGTGACCTTATCATCCTTATTATTTGATTCACTAAATCTTTCTCCCAACATTTCTTATTGTTGGACTTATTCGTGGTGAAAAACAAAACGTACTTTAAAATTGAAGTATGATTGCCCTCATTAAATATCACATATTGTGTGCAGCTGATGAACACTGACGGGGTCAAAGTGGATCTACATTATTCTGCATCAATATTTGTCCTTTCCCTGATGTTTATCGTAGTATATATTCAGAAATTAAATCCTACGTATTTATGCGAAATTGTTGAATATTTGGGAATCTAACCAATTTCAGTGGTATATTTCATCCTGAGCGGACGCTGGCTAGAAGAGTGTTGGAAGGCACATAAAACTGAAGATCTGGTTCATCTTTGTTTTGAACTTTGCAGCCTAAAGAAGTGCATACTCCCAACTTGTTCAGGTTGGGATTGAACTTAGGGTCTTCAGTTTAGGATGGGAAGTCTGTTCCAACCTCTGTAGATTATGAAGAGAAATCAAGATTTCATCAGGCTGCATACTCAATCGGTAAGAAACGAATCACATTTTTTAAGATAGAATCTCTTTCTACAGGTGACTTGCTAGGCATATTTTATACTAAATACTTGTACTTTTTACGTTTAAAAAGTTGAAAAACTCAAGATCTTTGTTTTTTCCTAGCTGTGGTACATCACGATTCGAATACTCCTCGGAATCAGCTTTATGTACACAATTACAAGGAAAACATTGAAGCATCTATACACAAGTAGTTTATATGCCCGATGATAACTGATAGTAATTGTTCTCGAAGCGTGAACAGTCACAATCGTTTCACTCATACACACACACACAGAAGTGTAGTGGTGTATCAATGATCTTTGCTCAGGTCATTTCAATAAATACAACAAACGCCTGTGCGTCAGTGGCACAGCGGTTAGGACGCTCGCTGACCATGAACATGGCCTAGGGTTCGATCCCCTGCCGACGCATACCTGATATCCATAATCGATGGGCCTGCTAAATTACGGCTACCGATATCATATGCTGAAAATGCCATACTTGTAAAGGAAATACTGTGTGCAGTCAAGCTATGATAATAAAATTTAAATTAATTTATCGAATTTTTATTCCTTCACATTCCCAATGCTGGAACGTAGGGCGCCTTCGATCTAGAGGCCCAAAAGTTTCTGTAGCATTGGTGATTATTTTTACAGGATGGGGTTGCTGCTAGCCCCATGTCCAATCTTTCCTCTTTCCTAGTCTTACTACTGGCTTAGCAAGGTAAAGCAGGAGTGTGTCGATGGCCAGGGTTCAAACCCCGGACCACCTGCGTGGTTAAGGAGCACTGTACTGCTGTACCACCAACGCACTAATTTAACTATGTGTCACATTAATTGTTTCCTTCTCTGTTTTGTTTTTTAATTTCAGATGGCTTTCATAATTGTATACTTACAGATATCAAGGATATAATGAGAGCAATAGAATACATACAAGACAAAGAATTGGTTGATGATTGCCTACATATAAAAGTCAATACTATTCCAAAATCTTTACCAAATCAAAGTGTATGTGGTAATCTTCGACAGTCTAATAAACCTATTTATTATCCCTATCCACCAACGTATGCAGAAGCTATAGGCTCACAGATATCATTAACTTCTAAGGGGAACAAAAAAGTCGGCACTAAAGTTATCATAATTCGTTCAAATCAACAGAATGACAATCAAGAAGAAAGCAATCACTAACCCAAATTTGGTTAGTTATTCTATAATTAAACAACTACAAAAAAAAATACAAAGATAGTTTCCTTGTCTATCTAAACATTTGACTGAGTATTAACAAACAGGCTAAGAACACAATATTCAGCGAAGAGACTACTTTTCAACGAATTTATTATCAAGCTGTACAATTGTATATACTCGTGGTTTTTAACCGGTGAGAGAATAAGATCAAAGGTGTGAATACGCGAAATAATTATATTAGTAGTAATCGTATGAAATGCAATTAAAATGTTTGTGATTATAATCATAGTTAGGTGTCACGTGGTAAAGCAATTAACGTCATATATATATAGAATAATTCATAAGATGTATAGATGTTGAAAAAAGGGGCTTTAAAATTATACCGTTAATAGGCAAATATAAAATGTATTTGTGGGGATTTGGTTGATTGGTTACGGGATTCGATTATGAGCTGACATCAGTTAGAGAGCTATTTGGAAACCTGAGAGAACTGGACAGCTGTTTCGTCCTAGTTCGGGACTTTCAATCAGTACACACCTACCTTTGAGGTTCGAACCCAGAACCTCTTAGTTACAAGGCGAGCTAACTCGTAGACCATTAAGCCATTGGAACGTGATCCTATGGCATATTGATTGGAACTTCTGCGAATCAATTCATGACATAGCACGATCACTTGGCAATGTTTTCTTCGATGAATTATTGCCTCACCTTCGACCTGTTGTACACCTTACTGGTCACGGCTTTCAACTAGAAACCCATGCTAACTGCCTGAATAGGGCCAGTCACTAGTGAGCATCAGATTAATTTTCCTGAATTGTCAGGATTTAGAATTCATAGGCTGGCCATTTGACCGGGTCCCAGTGGCTTAATGGTTTATGATCTGGCTTACTTGTTAATCAAAAGGTCGTTGGTCCGAACGCCGGTGGGTGCTTACTGCTGAAGAATCCAAAGAGACTAGGACGAAACAGATGTCCAGTACTTCCAGGTTTTCCAGTTGGTTCTCTAACTGACTTCAGCTCATGATGAAATCCTCCAACAAATGAGAATGTTACTTAACATGGTATGAAATTTGATAAGATAGAATTCAATATTTTATGAAGAATGTTTTTAAACTTAGAAGGACTTGTGCGACAAGCGAAAACAATTCATAATGAGAACAATAATAATAAAATCGTAGTTATGAGGGAAGGGTACATAGATTGACTAAATCAACAAATAAATAAAAGTCTATCGCTCTACAACAACGGCAGAATTAAGAATTCGGTAGATGATCTTAAAACCATGGTCAGGGTCTGCGGAGTGACCATTTAGTTAACCTGTGTACCTTTCTCTCAATACTACGCCTATTATTATTATTATTCTCACTCTGAATTGTTTTCGCTTGTCCCACTAGTTATTCTAAATTCCAAAACATTTTTTAACATTGCTGAATTCTATCTTCTCAAATTTCACACCATGTTATGTAACATTTTATATTAGCCTACTAACCCTATAATTATGCACCATTTTCCAACATTTATACATCTTATGAATTATTCTATATATATATATATATATATATATATATATATGACGTTAATTGCTTTACCACCTGACACTTTACTACGATTATAATCACAAAATTCTAATTGTACAGCTTGATAATAAATTCGATGAAAAGAGTCTCTTCGTTGAATTACTTGTTTCTTAATGTTACAATGAGAATTATTCAATTATATCAGCAGGTTGACAGGATATAAATCAGTCAAGATGATTTATCAGTGGGATGATACGATTGTGCATATAAATTGTCTATTATCATTATTATTATATCCTTTAATTCCTAGAAGGACATAGGGCTTCAGCCACGCGTCTCCATTGCCTTATGTTTTCTGCCAACTTTTTAACCCCGCTCCATTGTTGCTCACATGCTTTCATCTCCCCGCTTCACATGACCTCCTCCAAGTTAACCTTGCACTGACGACCAACTCGCCGCTTCCCTTTCGGGTTTCATTCAAGCGATGGCTTGTCTAGTGATGTCACTTGATGGTTTCCTCAGTGTATGGCCAGCCAATCCATCTCCATTTCTTCCTGCTTATTTGTTTCACAATCGGTTCCTGCTGTGTTGGTTCGCTCACTGCCAGAGATCCCTGTTACTGATCTTTTCTGGCTGGCCATCTGATCTTGAGTATTGAGCGAAGACAACTGTTAATGAAGGTCTGTAGTTTGTTTGAGATGCTCTTTATGACGCGTGAAGTTTCTGATCCATAAAGTAGCAGTGACTTCACATTAGAGTTGAAAATCCCGATCTTATTTTTCATGTTCACGCTGAGTTCTGTTGACTTCCACACAGACTTAAGAGTAATCAAAGCTTGTCTTGCTTTTCCGATTCTGGCTATGATAGCCCCGTCAGTTCTGTCGGCCTGTAGTTGAAACGATACTTCCCAGGTAGGTGGGTGACGGAGGTTGTTTATTTCAAGTTCCTCCCATTTATGCTGATTGTTGTGTGTTGTTGTTGCTGTTGGTGTTGGCCAGGAATCTTCATCACCTCTGTTTTCTCTATGTTCACTTGAAGTTCTATCTTTGACGCTTCATCTATCGCCAACTTGTTGCTTTTCACTTGCCTATCTTCCATTTTGTGGGAAACCAGACATATATCATCAGCAAAGTCCAGATCCTTTAAGGTTTTTTGTGTGAGTCCATTTTATGCCTGTTTCCTCATTGCCCGTTGTCTGTCGCATTATCCAGTCTACTGCAATCAGGAAGTCATAATTAATACCAACAATAGTGATTCTATTAATAACAAAGTTTTGGATTTGACAAGAATGATGAAAAACAGCATCATAAAATCAATAAATATTCATGTGAATGTTATCGACAAAGGCTTAGTAAAACAAAAAGTGTCATTCTGCAATTCTAGATTGTAAGGGAAAAGAAATAAACCATGTTATAATGAAGAAGGTATGACATTAAAGGATGATAAATAAGGGATTAAAAGTATAGGTAAGGGGTATTGGTGATGGGGGTGATGATATCATCAGCTGGTTACGTCTTCATAGATCAAGAAAGGAATGAATGAAATCCTTCTGAATGCATATAGTTTGCCCCTATTGATTTGAATATCTATCGCCTCAGATATATTCAGGAGACAAATACAGAGTCCATTTGGAAGATTCTCTGGGATGCGATAAATCAGCGTGAATGCTTTATATGTCTACCACCGAATTACTACTACCAACTAAGTGTAATAAAATCGAACTTCAGGTAGTTTTTGTCTGTTCTTTACCAAACCACGATGGAAGGTTTTTTGTAACACATTGTCTAAACTGTCTAGTAGTTCATCCAACATAACTGTCTCCACAGGAGCAGTTGATTTGGTGAAATTATCTAGCTTATCCTTCATTTGAGTTTCAGTTATTTGATTGAATGAAGAATTTCATCATGAGCGGATATCATTTGCAGAACCACTGAAAAACCTGTGAGTACTGGACAGCTGTTTAGTCCTAATTCGGGACTCTTCAGCAGTAGGTACCGACCGCGGTCCGAACCCAGGACTTTATGCTTACAAGGCGAGGTCACAGACCATTGTGCCACTGTGACTTAATCTAATGCTCCTTGAATTCTAACTTCTTCCAATTCGCAACATAGCATGACCATTTCGCAATGTCGTCTTCGATGGGATACTGCCTCGCCTTCAACTTGCTGTACCCTACTGGTCATGACTTCCCATTAGAACCTCAGGTTACTGCTTGAATAGGGCCAGTCGCTAGCGAGCACCAGATTAATTTTCAGGTATTGGTTTTGTAGGGATTTTGTTTGATTGCATGGAGGACATCATCATGAACTAACATCAGTTGGAGAACCACTGGAAAACTTGGGAGTACTAGACAGATAATTCGTCTTAGTTTGGGACCAGTAAGATACAGGAAGTTGAAGGTGAGGCAGTAAATCATCGAAGGTGATATTGCGAAATGGTCACTCTATGTCATGCAGTGGCTGGCAGAAGTTAGAATTCATGTGCTGACCATTGGATCAGGTCCCAGTGGCTCAGTTGCCTACGAGCTGGCCTTGTAACCAGGAAGTCCTGGGCTCCAACCCCGTTGGTGGGTGCGTATTGACGTAACAGCTGTTCAGTACTCACAGGTTTTCCAATGTTTCTCCATTTGATGTCAGCTCATGATTGAATCCTCCATCCAATCAAACAGAATCCCTCAAAAACCAATACTCTCAATTAATTGTTGGATATGAACATAGAAATACTTCGTAAAGTATTCCGCGTGTACTTCTTGCTACTCTCCGGAATGAAATCTCACTTGAGAAACCCCCATGAAACTGTCACCTGATAAATAATGGCTTCTTCCGTTCTACAATAATCTCAGGTTTTCCACCTAAAGTTTTCATAATTTTCGTTATAAAAAACTACTCGAATAGCCGATCTTCGTCAGGGAAGCATGCATTTATTCAAATCCCTTTGTAAGCGTTCATCCGTAGATATCTTTCTTGTTCTGATCGTAAGGTATTTAACAACGTTTCTTTTACATTTAATGGGCACACAACTAAGAAAGTAATTACATCCTCTTGTGAATTTGCTTTTTCTATACACCCTTTTCTCTCTCAAGTGACCCATCTTCTCGCCTTCTTAGCCAAAATGGCATTCAGAAAATGCAGTTTATTATCCTGTTGCAGTATTACTATGACACGTTTCACAATTCATATGCACAATCTTATCATCCTACTGACAAATTACAATGATTGATTTATATTTTAATATTCATTTGTAAAGTTATGTATCTTAGAGTTAAGCTGTGTGGCATATCACCGAATGATAGACTCTATCTACAACAGTACACTATCTATAAAATAGGCCATAGTAGACTTCGCCTCTATCTTCGTATCCATGATCACAAACTAACAGGCAGTCAGAAGACATGACATACATCCGTTTATATCAAATCGCATAGATAACTATGTAGGTCAATTCAAATAGGATAATAAAATGCAAAACCTTCATAGAATTCCTGAGTGCCTGGTACTTGGATCAACTTGGAATCCGAAGTACTTGCCGACAGATTGAAGCCTGATATAGAGAGGATTATGTGAAGAATAAAAATAAAATTTTAAGGGAACATGTAGCACCAGTTGAAAGAGATAGCAGATAACCGAGTAGAATGGAGATATGTCCCTAAAATCCTGATTCTCAATCAGAATGCGTGTAATTAGAAACAATAGACACT